CAGACTTCCATGGCGTTCACATAGCCTTTAACAATGACAGTCAAACAGGTTTTCTCTCCCACACCACGTTCACCATAGTTTTGCCAGAATTGTTATTCCCAAGGATGGATCCGATTATTTACTATCCTCATATTAAAAGGGATAATGAATTTAAAATTACCCATAGTGATAACCCAATATCTCCAGTGTAAAATTACTCTTCCTTAGCCTGGCAGGTAAGGTCCTTAATGGGATGACCTCGCTCCATGTTTGAACTTCATCACCTGCCACTTTCCCTTCGGAATCTTAAACGCCCAGCACTCAGACTGCTGTTCAGGGAGCAGGGCGGACCATGGTGCAGCCCTGTGGCATCAACTCAAATAACAGTGAGCTTCCTTCTGGGGCCGGAAGAGTGATATTTGGGGGAGCCACCCTCCCCAGCCCCGAGGGAGTGGGAGGTGAATGACAGCTTGGGAGAGGCGGGCTCCTCAGGGGAGGTCTGTTGGCTCAACCAAGGACGCAGAGTCGTCTGCAAATAGTATGGCAGTTTGCTCTCTGAGTTCTGGGGCACCCGGGTGGAAGAGGTAGGTGTCAACAGGCTGGGAAAAATCAGGACCATTTTTCAGAATTAATTTGAAGGGATCTGGGTAAGAGATGTTGAGAGATGGGGGGTACCTTTTAATTCATACCAGATCTTTATATATCTCGATAAATGTTTGTCGAGCAATTTATTTCTGGCACTTTTTCATCCCATTCTATCAATATATTCCTTATATTTCAATATATCTTATATATCTTAGATTTCTTAGTATGACGTTTAATTCTACTGGATTCATTCTGGTTCTAATAAGCCATTTCTTTCACTTGCTTAAGAAAGGTTTACGGAATATCTACTACATGTCAACACTAGTTCATCTGTAGGGCAGAGATGTGGTGACTGTTCTTCGTGAGCCTCCATAAGAAGTCATGCATGTAGATGGACGTACGATGTTTACATAAACCTCTTGCTATTTGCTTGTATGTTGACATCTTCTTCTCCTATCACCCCAGACCATGATAATCATGCTCTGTGTAGTATATCCTTCTCTCTTGGCCAAGCAAAGGGAGATCCTGTGTGATGACTGCTCTGTTGCAAGACTCTGTATGTGTTCTATACATTCTTTCTGTAAAGGAAAGCGATCTCGTAGAGCCTTGAAATTTAGCAAAGGACAGAATTCAGGCTGCATCTTGTTTAGACCACGTCCAAGAAGCATAGTTACCAACCTCTCAAGAGGATTCCCATTGTTTTACCTAAAAGGGAGCCACATAGCATGGTCAGATTTGGTTTGTTTTGTCTAAAAAGATACGGCCTCTTCGAGTTGAGTGTGAGTGAAGAGAGAGAGAGAGGTTTGGAAAGAAATCAGGAAAATGCACGGTTTCCTTACAGAATCACGCTCTTAGATAGCCTGTTGCCCCTACGAGTTCCCTCTTCCTGGCGTTTACACACGGAGAAGACATTGACCGATTAGAACTGGAAAGACAAACAGAGGGCGGTGAATGCTTCAAATCTCAGTCGCTCATGTACTTCGCACCATTTTTTTTAAATCAAAGAATTTGGGCTCCCTCAGTTAAAAAACAAACATGGGCGTCATGGTGAGGATGGAATGCACCCACTTTTTCTGAAGAGGACGTAGGTGACTTTCAGACACCTGTTAGCACCTTGTAACCGCAAAAGCCCCGCCTCCCTCTCCCTTGGGCGCGGAGCACAGATCTGGTTCCGACCTTCGTTTTACACCTCGGGAAGCTGGAGTCTGAGACGCGTAGGTGACTTGTCTCATATCACGTAGCAAGTGAGCACAGTTAAAAAGCGAGTCCCGGTCTCGGGAACACCCGCTGGCCTGTCCACGCCCCACGGCATCTGGGGACAAGCTTCTGCGGCTCATCCGCGGCCAGCGCCCACCTCATTCCAGCTTCTGTGGGTTGACCCAGCTTTTCAGTCACATCGCTCCTTTTAGTCTCCAGGTCTCACTTCTCACTCTCTGCTCTGCCTGTCCCAAATGTGCAAGGAAACACTCCCCCTTGCTCTGCGGGAGCCTGTCGCCCCATGCGTGCGTGTGTGTGCGTGTGTGTGCAACCTAGCTCAGGACCCTGCTTCTTCGGCTAAAGGAAGGACAGTTCAGTTACCCCACGGACCATTCCTTCATACATGTCCAGTTGTCCTCTAGGGACGCCCAGCCCGCCTCCTCCAAGAAGCTGTCCCAGTCAGCCCTTCTTCAGCCTCCCCCAGCCCACCACTGTCCTCTCACTGATTTCTGCAGTTGTCTGTTTTCTGTCCTTTGAAATGTCCTCGCAGCCAGATAGACTGTGAGCTAGCTGTCTGCTGGGCGAAGGTGTCAGGTCTCCCTGGGCCCCTGCCATGTCCCTTCACAGCACAGTTTCTTCCTCCTGGGTCCCCCCAGGTCCTGATTTGCCGTTGTTTGTTTGTTTGTTTTCTGTTTTGACTTTGAAAGAAATGTATCAAACATCTCAGGACAGCCAACAACTAGAATCTCCCTTTATACTTTTCCCTTCTTTCCTGGATTCAGCCTACAGCTTAGGATTCTGGTCCAGCGCATGAAAATACAAAGTATGCAAACTCGAGTTAGTGTCGTAGTGTTCAGTGGTATACGTTCTAGAACTCTGAAACTAAGGTCGTGACAGAGCAGATTTGCTCCTAGAAAGTTCCAGAATCCTCACGACGCTTTCCTCCCTCAAGACAGCACCTTATCATAGAATTCAATCTCCAGAGCGGGGTGGAACCTTTGAACAGGGAGCATCCCATTGCCATGATGCACAGGGTTCCTGTGGAGAAGCAAGCTGGCACTGACTCCAGACCAGGCAGCCTGTGGCCTCTCTGGTTCCTCTCTTGCCAGGGAGCCAGGAGGAGGGGGAGTGGCAGCCGCCAGCCGTGCCAGCTAGCATCAGCCTTTGCTGCTTCCCTGATCCAGAAGGTTGAGGACAAAATCCCTGCAGGAACGAAGCTTTTTCTTGCTCAAATTGTGCTGTTAACTAGCCAGGAAAGTAGTTTGGGTGCTGAAATTATTGTCACTTCTGCCTACAGATTTATCTTTCAGAATTCCTGTGGGAGCAACTCCAGACACACCCTGTTCCATAGACATCTCGAGGAGGTTGTAAATTCTGCTGGCTCTGCATTATTTAAATCGTGCTTGGTCATTCTCATAAAATCTGCAACGTGATTTATTATTTCTACATTGTAATTTTCACAGGTGTTTGATGTAGAAATGGTTTTATTAAAAATTAAAACATTTCTCCTCTCAAGCATATACCAACACCTAACAATATTGTAAATTTGGAAATCTGTGTCATTTCTCTGTTCACCCATGTTAGCTATTAAAGGCAGAATTAGCAATTTTTATTACCATTAAAAAATTTTAAGAGACTTATTTCAAAATAGTACATAAAAGTTCCCTTATAGTCAGTAATGTGTTCATAAATTAATTAGCCGAATAGCTAACTAAACAACACAAAATACCTAGATTCGTTGTGCAGTTACAAATTCTGCAGAGAAATCTGGCTCACGTGTTGGCGAGTGCAATAAAACATCATCACGTTAAAAGTGCCGTATGTATTTGCAGGAGCTGTTTTCTCAATACATACTTTCTGAGGGCCTTTTTTTTTTTTTATCTTATAGTTTAAATTTCGAGTGTTTGGTAGAGTGACTGCATGCATGTTTACACATATCCTGGCGTAATAAGACTTTTAACACCAGACTTGAGGGGAAAAAAAACCATTTTTCTTAAGCCTTATAAAGATACTGGCTGATGTATAATTTAAGAAGTTAGTATGTTTGAAATCGCTCCTAATTAACATCAGCATCTTCTAATGTTCTTATTTATAGAAAATATTTTATATCTGTATAATTTTAGAGTCATCTTTAAACAATATTTATTAAATACCCCCAGTGCATCATAGAGATACCGTAAAAAAAATCCCCCGAGGGAAAAAGAATCTTATAAAAAGAAGTTAATGTAAAAGTTCTGGAGATCTGTTACACACTGTCAATATCCTTAACTGAACTGTGCACTTAAAAATGGTTAAGATGGTGAATTTTATGTTGTGCTTTTTACCACAATTTTTTTTTAAAAAAGTCAATGCACAGGTGAGGTGGGGTTTGAAACAACTTGTTCCCTTTTGCACGTAGTTACCGAGTGGAGGTGGCAGTGGTTTGGGTCCTGGCAGGTCCAGGGTGGGTGGCCTGGAGGATGGGGCTGGGGGCAGGGCGGGGGTGAAGGGCTGCATTTCCTCTTCTGGTGCCTCTGCAGCCAGGGACCCCCAACATCACTGGGTCGAGTCACAGTTCCAGGGGTGTCTTCCCTGTGAGTTGGCCTGAGAAAGACAAGACCCTTCTCCTTTGCCTCTGTGCTCTCTGCTCCTACACTGTCACCTCGGAGGGCGATGTCCCCACCGACTATCACACTGGAGCGAACCCTCTGTTAACGGTGCTGCTGCTGTGCCAACAGCTGGTCCTCAAAGGGCTGTACATCCCAGGCAGTGCCACACATCCGTCGCGGTACCTGCACCGGACAGCTGACGGGTGCGCAGCCCCGTCCCCTGGCCATCACAAGTGGCCGCGGCAGCCCCAGGCAGAGGACTTCAGCCCGGAGTCCCATCCCCAATGCTCTGCCTCAGCCTGTTGCCTCATGACTCCCTCCCCCAGAAAGCGCTTTCAAGGAGGGAATTTAACGTTTGTCCTCGATGAAACCCACAAAGGAAACGTCTTTTATCATAAGGGAATTGGCCAGGAAGAGATTAAACTGAGATGCACCAGGAATGTGACTGGTTTCGTCAGACCGCGGCCAGTGTCCTTGCCTTTCATTTCTGTGGCTTACTGAAACATCTAGAAGCCTGCATCTGGAATCAGTAATCTTTGCCATTTCCTGAAGGGGCGGGTGGGAGTCGGGGTTTGGCTTTGTTTTGGTAGTAGATTATTTTTTTTCGTTTGCTAACTTACAGCAATGTATCTTTGGCCCTGTTCCCATTAGGAGGCGAAAGCATGGAAATTAAAAAACAGATTACGGGAATGAGAAGATTATTGAATGACAGCGCCGGGAGGATATATCAGCGCGTCGGCAAGGAAGGAGAAAAACTAAAAGAAGAACCCCAGGATTTGGACCCCATGTGGCCTCAGCGTTTGAACTCCTCTGCTGAGGCCCCGCAGAGCCTCCCCGCTTCCTCCCGGGGCGCCTGGAGCGAGTTCCCACCCCAGAGCGGGCAGTTCGCAGGGCAGACTGGCCCCCGCTCCAGAACCTTCCAGAGCCAGCCCCACACCGCTGGGAGCTCCAATGGTAAGGCCGCCATGAGACATCTGGAATGCTCTCACGGTTTGGGGGGCGGGCATGCCCCAGTGTGCTTCGTGCCTGGTCAGCATGCGCGCTACAGTCAGCCCTTGCCCAACGTCATCGCTAGGTAGGCTCTTGGGAACAGCGACTTTAAGGAAACGACATATAACAAAGCCAAATTTACCTGCGGCTAACTGATAGAAGCAAGAGTTAAGTTCCTACAGCCTATTTCTGGTCTCAAAAGCATCACCAAACTTCTAAATAAAGACCCCACACACTTCTAGGGACCACCCCCCCCACCCCGACATGACGCCCTTCCATCACAGGGCCACTCAACACACCCCACACTCACTGAGACCGGGACAGGTAGACACGTGGGCGAACCTCCCGAGTTCCCCCTTGGGACGCGGGAGGAACCTGAGAACCGGAGAGAAGCCGCGCAGACGTGGGGAGAATGGACCAACCCCACACAGACAGTGGCCCCGGCTGGGAACCGATTTTTTTTTTCTCATCAACATTATTATAAGAAAATGACATTATTTGAGGACCTGCAGTACAGTAAACCCTCCCTTAATCACCTGCCTTAGCTGAGTTATTTTAAAAGACAGACAAGCACAGAGGAAAAAGTTGCAGACTATAAAAAACAGAATTGAGATGCAAGAAAGATTGCGGATTCGATGGCAGAAGTGATGATTTCTTAGGGATTTTAGCCCTGTAAGAAGTTAAAGCTATCATTTGCGGATATGCAGGTACTGTTGTCACAAAAACTGACATTAGGGCAGAAAGGGCTCCCCTTGGTCATTAAAGGAAGCTTGCTGGTCACATGGTGGATTAACACATCCTCTCGCTTATGCCTTTGCTTTTCTTCATTATCAGAAGAGTCTGTGGTTCAAGGGAAGACCGATAACCTAGCAGCCTGGTACCTTCTCTTCAAGCTCACACTCCAGCTCCCGACCCAGATGGTCCATATTTTATAACTTGCTTCATTAGGGTTCACATTTATTCCTTTTAAATTCCCTTAATTTAAGTTTCTAGTTGTTCAGAAAAAAAAAAAAATCAAATGGCAAACAATTTTTTTTTCAAAGCTCATGATAAAAATTGATGATTTTTTCCGATCAAGTTAATTTCCATCCAGTGACATTGGATGTTACTTGTTCTATAAATTATGTATAGATGTGCAGATCTATAGTTCTCACAAAGAGAACAAGAAAAAAGTAAGAATGCCTTTTCAGTTTCCTTGAAAAGTGAAAGATTTTTTCCCATTCATTATCCTTCAAGATAAAGAGAACTGTTTTGATTTTTTTTTTTAAACACAATTTGCAGTAACCAGTTCAGAGGCATGAAAAGCCATCCTGAGACACTGCTGATGAGACAGCGAGGGACCCCAAGAGATGTACCGGTGTCTTCTCTTGCTCTCAATATTACATAAGCCAATATCAAATTCACAAGCTGGCATGCTTCCAGGTTACAGAGAGATGGCTCTTGAAAGACTCCTCCATAAAAATAAAAAGTCAGTTCTCTTTCAAATTAGAAAATGATTTATAACAAGCTGAAAAGGATTGGTTTTGTCCTCTAAAAAGGATAAGATAGTATTTAGAATAGTGACGCGGAATATTCTACAAGGCCCTGTTGGTTCTACAGCCACGGAAGAAACGAGAGGAGAAATAAGGTCCCCCGAGGTGTAGGTGGAGTTAGTAAACCCACATCAGTAAGCTCTGGGCCAACAGAGTTCTTTTCCATTACATAATAGGGAAGGTGCACGTCCTTTGAAAAACGTTATGTTAAAAGCTACCAATGTAAATTCCCTCCTATTCATTTGACAAGAGGTCTTTCAGTGTTTGTTTTCATGTTTTCAGTAGAAATTCATTATCTGTAACAGTGACTACTTTGGTATTTCATTGCAGCAATTTGTAGTTTTAAAGTTATAACATCTACGTTTGCTACAATTTTGAATGTGAGTAATTGTGCCACTCCAAACATTAGGGTATCTTGAAGTATTCCATGGCTTTGCTATGGTGAGTTTTTCTATAGTATCCACAAATAATGCATATCATTTAAGTTACCTGTAATGTGTAATAAAAGATGCGATTGGGCCAAAACCTCAGAACTTGCCTGCTCCGCCCGTGAAAACCCTCAGTGATGGCAGCGTGTCATACAGCGCGCCTTACGGTAGTGGGGCCCCCTACCGATGCCGGAGGGACGCCACTGAAAGAGGGGTTCTCTGAACGTCCCATTGCTCCAAGGACAGCAGGAGGGTGTTGGTTTACTTATAAGGGAAGCAGACTAGGATAGTTTTTTCTTTTTAAGGAAAGGATATTAGATGAAAATAGTGAAAAAGAGACTAAAACGAGGGAACTGTAAGAAATCGGGAATGGAAAAAAGATGTAGAGAAATCACGTTTGTTCAGTTGGAGAAAAGCCAGTACACCAACACCCTCTGATCCGTCAAGTTCAAATGTATCCTCCCATATCCTGCTCCCCCATCTTCCTCACCCCGAACACACCAGACCCAGAGGGTGTCCTGAGAGTTTTAATGTGTTGACAGTTCTCAATTTTTGAAATGATATGCTTAATACTAAAATTATTCTTTAACAGTTAGACACATTTTAATTCTTACTACAGACTCATAACTCATGCTGCTACCAGGTTTTTTGGTCAGGCTGTTCTTGGAGCTCGGTTTTTGTGCAAAACAGTGTGAGTGTGTTTCTAGTGAATTTTTATGGTATTGTTATCTGAGATGAACTGGAGTGACAATGGGGAGACCTGCTGTGACAGTGCATTGTGTGCAGCCATTCATGCAGGCTCCACTGCCCCCTGAAACAGCACGCACCTTGTGACATAGAAGCCTGGATAATTAGATAAAGTCAGACCCCAAGATTTAAGTTGTGAAAATTACTGGGTGCATTTTCCCGAGGCACAGTTTCGTAATAACTGCACAGGCTTCAAAATCCTATCAAGATGCCGACCACCCCCCACCCCCGCCTTTGTCATTTTGTTGTTGTTGTTTGGAGTGTGTCATTCTTTTCTTTCACGCTTAGGAGAACTTCCAGTGGTGAATTCATCAGCTGGATCAAACTGCTGTACTTGTAACTGCCAGTCAACGTTGCAGGCCATCCTCCAAGAACTCAAGACCATGCGGAAATTAATGCAAATTCAAGCAGGTACAAAGATCAGGCCTCGGATCGAGGCCTCCGATTTTCAGTACATATCTGCCATCTTCAGTAGGGATGTTTATTGTGGTTTTATTATTTAGTTCTTCCCTCCTTGCTAGCTTGCTGCAATTTTTCAAGTATCCGTTTTCTCAGCTTTTTCTCCAACCCATTTTTCCTTTAGCAAATCTAACAAATTTTTTATTGTTAATACGACTCCTATACTTACGAAGACGTGCTCCATCTACTTCACCCTGTGACTCCTAGTACCTCACGAATGTCAGTCTGTTAAATTTCGAAGCCAGTGTCACTGCCCTAACGTGAATCGACAAAGAGGTTCAGATGAGGAAAGAAAATGAGGCTGCCTCGTTTTACCTCCCGAGGTGCTCAGTGTGGGGGCCGCCTGCACCCTGACAACCCCTACTCCTGCATGAGTCCCTTTGGGGCTTGGCGTGACACTGGGAAGCCACACATTTTTGTAGATGTGGCAGAGTCTTCTGGGAAGCACAGGTCCCCTGGTGACGAGCACGGGCTGACAAGATATGGCTCTCAGGCTCTGCTGGTGGCTTTTCTCCCTAACATTCAGGAACATAGATGCTCGAAGACACCTCAAGTTTTGTCTTCTCTGTTTATACAACGCCTTTTTTGCCCTCACTCCTGTTAGACAAGTTGAAGAACAGAAAAGCAGTGAATTTGCAGTTTTGGGTCAGAGTTTGTTGTTTCCTCTTTCTAGCTGTGTGACTTCTCTGAGTCTCAGATTTCTCCTCTGCCCCTGGAGTATTAATATCTAACTCTCAGGGTTGTTTCCAAAAGAGAACGAGGTAGCAAATGTAAACAAACTCTGTAGAGCATGATACAAGCATGAGTTATTTCGTTAGCATTGTTATAAAACCCACAGAACATTTCATAGCAGTCTGGATGTCTAGATCTTCTGGAGTCTAGCAGCTCTGTTTTCTAATCTTCACAATGAAGCGGGGAGCAGAACTTTTTTGTCACAGGCACAGAAAATCATCAGTTGTTTTATTAGTAAGCCTTCTTTCTTGTCAGAAGAAGCTGCTCCTTGACCTTAGCTTAAAGCAGGAAAGAGCACAGTCGTGTATGACTGGCAGTCCCGTCCCTTCATTGTAAAGGTTTTCACAAAAGTCCTCGTTCAGAAACTGTACTTGGTGCCACTTAGCGAACTCTAGTAAAATTTCAATATTCAACGATATGGTTTTGATATAAAAAGTTTTATACTTAGACATATCAGTCACCCCAGATTCCACGAAAATAAGATGAACAAAAGGCTCTCTGGAAAGCAGCATCTAATTTTATGTGCTGGATTTGGTTTGATCTCACAGAAGAAAAAAATAAGCATTTTGGTCAGGCCAGTAAGTATTTAACTCGCCTTGTTCCACCACAAGAATCTGTTTTTATTAACCAGGCAAAGGTTAACATCTCCTAAATAAGAAGCTCAGAAAGAAAGGTTACTTCATTGTGTACAGATTCTTTTCTCAGAGGAAGAATTTGTTAGCAACTAAGAAAATGTGCATAGGAAATCGTAATGATTTATTTTGTTACTTAAGCTTCTTACTACTGAAATGGCAAGCTACAAACTGTAACCACTTAAATCCTTGACTGAAGCTATTGTAGAATCTATTAAGTAAATGCCACTTTGTCGCCTTGTTTTCTTTTCTGAACCTTTGCAGATTAGGGCAGGACATGAGTCCAAAGGCATAGAAGAGCAGAAAGGATCAACTCAATAAATTACTCTTTTTTTAATTTTCTTAAACTTAAGAATTTGTGTCATGTGGCTAGATTTACTTAAGGTTTATTGCCTGTAGGACTTGGATTTAAATTATACTTAGGACGTTTCCCCTTGATTTAAGGAGAAGACAAGGAGTAAGATCTGGATACAAGAAACTACAGCTCTGTCTAAACTTGCCACAGGACAAGAAAACTCAGATAGTCCCTGTGTTCTCGAAACCAAAATCATTTTTGCTTGTGACTGAGACCAGCGAGGCCTGAGAGGCGTGTGTTCTGGCCTGTCTGGATTATTGCTCCAGCCATCCACTTGGCTTCGGGGATGCAAACCTAGCCTTGGGTGAAAATCCCGAGAGAACAGAGGAAAGTTCCCAGTCTGGTTTGCACATCAGAATCACTTGGGGAGCTTTAGAAAGATCTCGATGCCCGGGCACCACCTCTGGAAATTTCGATTCAGTTCGTCTGGAGTGAGGCAGAGGCACTGACGTTTTCCAAGCTGCACGGTGATTCTAACGTGTGGCCAGGGGCAAGAAACCAGCAAGCTTGATGGATTACTGCAGGGGAGATTAAAAACTTTTCAGTTTATATGCAGTACAAGTAGTTTGTTTCTAACACTCAGTTATAAATTTCTTTCCTGCCTGCAGATGAAACTATCAAGTTCAAAGTACAAATATTCTTTATTTGCAAACTGATAGGAAATGAACCATATTCATGTGCATTTAAAGATCTTCAGTTTTCATTAGATGTAGGTATATTTCTGTAAAAAGACAGGTATAGCCCGTAGTCACAGCCAGCCATATTGATACATGAAGATTTAAAATGGCTAACAAACAACTTCTCAGAGTGCACCTGTGAAAACTATAATTACCATCTTTGTTTCCTTAAGTATATTTTCAAAATTAGGACTTAGTTCTTGCTCAGTGCTGTTCATCTTTTGAACTCAGACTGTTTCAGGATTTTGCCCGTTTGCTTGACTTGTACAGAACTCTATTGTTCCCGTTTTTCCGCCACATAAAGCTGAGGTCTGGAGGAGCAGCCTTGTCTGAACGAGCAGTGCGGTGCTGTGGAGTTGGGCACGTGTGGACAGGACAGGCTTGCGAGGAAGGGGCTGCTGGACCTGGCAAGTGACTGGCAGGCTTTGCCCACACTCTTACTGGTACTTGCTCACTAGCTGCTCCAGACAGATTCATTTTGATCGGTCTTGCCCGAATGATCGCCCTTGTTCGGGCTTCGTCGGTTTTAGTGCTAGCAACTCATCAGTTTAACCCAAATGACAATTGGAATATTCCTGAGATTGGCGTACCAGAAAGCATGGACATCGACACCTCAGTTATTTCTATGAAAATGTCACGTGACTGGGTAGAATCATGCTCAGGTGTTTTCTCGTACCTCATCCTCCTATTCTTCCGTCGAAGCAGCAGCAGCACCGTCTGCTTATTCACCAGCATCTGGGCCAGAGTTCTCTCCTGGGTGTTTTTCTGCCCCGAGACCCGTAAATGCTCCAGAGCCTGCACTCGGTAACCTTTGGGCCCGGCGTGCTTTATTTTATTCGGTGTACTTCGCCCTCGAGGGAGCCCCACTGCAGTCTCAGCTTGCGGAGCACATAGGTGGACGGGTGATACGTTTTCCTAAGTTAGACACAAGTGCCAGTACCATATTTTTGTTTATTGTTCACAGTTGGAACCCAAAACAGACAACAACCCCCAATTTCCCTTATATGCTCCCAGCGAACTGCTGTCTCCCGCAAGAGAAATAAAAAGAAAAAAGTGCCCCCAAAGACCGTTGAACCTCTTACTGTGAAACAGAAGCCCGGGGTGTCAGAGACCGAGAGGAAGTCGGCAGTGGCCTCCGAGCAGCCGGCCCTCCAGGCAGCCGAGTGCACCGCCCCTGGGGAGAACCGCGGCCTCGGATTCGGCATTGTTCTCGAATCACCTTCCTCAGATGTAAGTCGATGTTTTCTGTGTAACTGTCAGGAATTTTATAGTATCACTACACTTTCCCCTTAACTCGTGCTGCCCAGGCAAACTGGAAAAACTTGCAGAATACATGTGTTCCAAGAGGAAAGGAAGACGATGAATAATCTCCTTGCCTAGAATTTTCTCTTCTGAAAATCTCGTGCCTCAATTTTTTTAAACACGTTTCCATTCTGTATCTTTGAAAGAAGATGGAGTAAATAATCTGCTCACTGATGTCTTTAACATTTTTAATTTTGAAGTGGCCGTTTTCAATTTCCTTGGCGTAGAGAGCTAAAAGAACATAATTAAATCCTCTGTAGATAGGCATAAATGAACCGAACCTTACAGATAAGGTCACACCTTTCTCGAAACACAAACTAATAATAAAAAAGGAGCCATAGTGCTAATTCTGTTTTATAGATGCAAGCTACACTGCTAATTAGGCTGCGGTGCCATGCCATTTACTCGTGTAATGATAGGTTAACGCTCTGCAAAGGTTTTTCTATTTTAATATCATAGCGAGAATGTTGCTGCTGTCCAAGATGTTGGATGACAGCTACGATATCCATCTGACTTGCCATTCGATATTCAATAACCATCAACTAATTTTTTATTCGTGTGCGTATGTGCAGTCGCATCCTCTCTTTACAGTATCTTTATCTAAAAGTACGCCGATGCTGTGAACCCCAACTTGTTGGGAGTTCTTAAAATAAACCAGAATGGGTGATCTATTATTATCAGATTGCATAGGATGAGAACCCTGCTGAGAACTCCCACGGGCTTATATGAGATTGGAGTTTGGCCCTACCTTTTAAACTTTAAATAAGAAATAAATCGCTTTTTTTAAAAAGTGTTCCCTTTCAAACTGCAGAAAGACAGTTTCCTCTGCTGTATCCACATTGGATCTTTAATAAAGGGAGGTGACAAAAATAGTCATCTTATGACTTTTTTAGACTAGAAGATCATTTGAACTTTTATCCAATCCTTGGTGTCAAAGGTTTTTCTTTTTTGCTTTTTTTTTTTTTAATGAAGACATGCTATAATTTTCAAAAAGTTCTTCTAGACTAAAAACTTTAAAAAAATCATTAATGGCACTGTTCTCCCTTGGACCAGTCAGCCCCTTTGGTCAGCCCTTACTCAGGCCCCGGGTTCAAAACCCACGCATTTGGAAACAGGTAAATTATTCCACAACACAAAGTGCAGCCAACCTTCAGCAGTTCTAGTAATACTTTTGTATTTTTCTTGGCATTCTTTTCTGATAGTTATTGACGTATCAGGCCAAATCATTTCAGTCGTATAAATTATTTTGTAAATGGGGCGATCTGATGCTAATAACCAAACTTTCTTCTTTTTTAATTTTTAAGCTCCAAATGTACTTCAAAAATAAATTGAGGAATATTTGGTAAAGGCCCTATGTACATTGGTGAAATAGAATTTTTCTTATCTTTGCCAATGTCACTATTATAATTTTATTTAGATACCACATAAAAATAATTTGCCTTTTATTCATTTTTATTTTTGCTAACAAGAGCTATTAAATTTAATAAAGCACATTCAGAATTGTCCATGAAAACTGAGTTAGGTGTTTGTTACCTTGATGGAAGAATAGCAGACTTCTAAAGAAAAGCAAAATAGTATGTATGGATATTATCTTTATACCATCCAGCTGACATACCATTCGATTCATCTAGTCAACAGAAACTAACTGCACCTAGAGGACCATGCAATGAGTCCTGTCACTAGATAAAGGAATTTTGTCCACAGACCGTTCACTGGCATTCACGAGGCTGGCCTGTGCAGGCCCCGGGAAGGGAGACTAATTTCCTTAGGTGATAGGACCTTCGATGCTAAGGCATTCAAATTTGGCTGGTTTCTACTTTTATTATTTTTTAGGCAGAAGCCCTTTAAAATTTGGTGGAAGTCCAGAGGAGAAAACAGAAAATATTTAATAATATTTAATAAACTTTTCTATAAAATATAGTTGGATATATACAAGGGGATGGGATTTGTATATTTAAAGATGGACCCTGAAAATTAGGTCCAAAGTCGTAGGATAGAGCAAGTGGTCCAGTGGGCTAGAACAGCTGGTAGCAGACGATGATGTAAAGGTAGGACGGGGCCAGATCCCGAAAGCCCTGTTATGCCATGCCAAGACCCTTGGCCTTTATCTCTGGGCACTAGGGGGCTGTTGCCAGTTTCAAGTGGAGGACTAATCAGACCTGTGCTTTAGAACGCAAACTAGAACAGCGTTGCGGATGATAGATGAGACAAAGAGACTAGGCGGATGATAGTCAGCCACGCAAGAGATCAGGAGGGCCTGTGCGTGAGTAATGAGCCTAAAGAGAAAGAAAGGAGAGACGTTTAGGAGGCACCCACACAGAGGACGTGGTGACTCAGTGGAAAGTAACCCCCAAATTCCTATCTTGGAAAACTAGCTTGGTTACTGGGTGGTACTGACTTCTTTAACTGAGGCAAGAATAGAAAGAGCAGAAGCAGCCTTCAGCTCTGGATGGGAAGTAAAAGTAAGTTTAGAGTGTTCATTAGACATTTGGAGCACGGAGCACAGAAGAAAGGTGAGAGTTACAAGCAATGAAAAAATGACACCTAAAACCTATGCTTTGTTGCTTTTTTAAATGTAAAAAAAAATACCGTAAATTTTTTAAAAATTCACAGTGTATAAAGTTATCTTTTTTTACGCTGTGACCTTTGGAGTCACCCAAATACAAATTTGTATAACTATGCATAAACACAAACGGAAGGGCCCACGTGGGGTTATGGATTGTTGCAGGAAGACCTCCGATAATGATTATCTGTGCTCAAAGGCGGGAAAACAGTGAGCTCTAATCAAAACCAGCTACAGTGTCAGTGCCTCAGAGTATCATAAACTAAATGATATAGAGTATGTGGAAAAATCCTATTGCAGCGTCTGGCACATAAAAGGTACTCAATAAATGTTATTTAGTCTGCAAATGATGAAGTATCTTCATTTGCATTAAGTGCAATATACAGAATAAACTTATGAAACTTTGGGTCTAGGACTTGGCTTTAATTAGAACTCTCTCCTCAACTTAACTCCCATTTTCTCATTCTTGTTACTCCTCTCTGCACCGCCAGCCCCTCCCTCAAGGCAGCAGTATAATTTCAACAGTCCTCCTTTATAGAATTTTCTGTACTGGTTTGTAGTTATTTACATGATTTCCCCTCTCTCCTCTCCAGCTTCTCAAGGGCAGGGACTGTATGATAACAGTAATATTTGTGTGCTGTCCTTTGCTACATAATTTATCACACATTTCATCCTTACTCTTTGAGGCAAGATGAGTATCCTCATTTTATAGATGAGGAAACGATGGCATAAAGGCCTCAGGCGGCCTGCTCGAGTTCACACAGCCGGGTCCGCAGTGAGCCCTTATCCTTGAGTGAAGGACTCGGGCGCCTGTCCTAGCACAGTTCTTAACCGTGCCTAACGCCCAGTAACTATTCATGAGGCAATTATTACACGAAGGGGAATGGAAAGGTTAGACTATGGCCGTGTTTGCTCTTTGCTTGGAAGTTCCTGCAGAGGAGAACCTGAGGGCTTAAGGGGGCAGGCTCGAGGCCAGGCCGCCTAGGCTAGAAGCTCGGCTGCGTGCCCCTGAGCCAGCATGCCCACCCTCGCCTCCCGCCGTGTCCTGTCCATAGAATGGGGACAGCGGTGGTGCTGACCTCACAGAGTGGGCGCTGAAAGAGTTAAATGGAGTAACCTCTGCGAAGCACTTTGACTAATACCTGCTATGTTAATAACAGTTCTTTTTTAAACCTTAGCGGTCCTAGCTAAGTACCTTTGTAGGGATAAATGTAAAAATTTAAGTAAACTTACGTGTATATATAACTGAACAGATACCGTTTTTAAAATAGAGTGGCCAGAAACATTTCTCTTTTGGGGCAGGATTATTTGACCCGTTTTAAATTAGTACATTAAATAAAACTGAAACCTAAGTTACACAGAAGAAAGGCCAAAACCCAAAACCATATTTCAGATTTAAATACAATATTTAATTCTTTCTTCATTGGGTTCACAACCCAATACTCTACTACTACTCAGGGAAGACAGGAATTTTTTACAGTTACTGTTTTTTCCTACTTAGTTGGATATATTGGTTTGTGTTTTTCAGGGCAGATATATACATGGCTTAGGTTTGCTTCATTGTCGTGGCTTCTCGTTTGGCGTGTTTTTTGGCTTTGGTGAAACACTAAGATCAGTTTTTTAAAGTGTTTTTTTACAGGGTAAAAAATGTTTTTCCATTTATTGTAATGTTTATGAATATTTTCTAGTGATCCTAGATACACAAAAGTTATCAGAAAATAAATCTATGGACCTCCATCAACTTAAGATACTTCCGTTAATACTTAATTTATGGCATTCTTCAAGTAAATAATTTAAAATGTATTGGTGCTTTCAACATAAATAGCTTCTGAAGTCAGAATCTGTTTTCCTAACTTCTTCTTAACCCAATAAATAAAGTAACCCACTGGGAACTCGTAGAGCAAATTAGTCAAGCAAGTTATTTTTAAATTTATTCATTGGAGCATTGCAATCAAGGCAGAATATACTTATCAGTGTGAGTTCTAGCACAGACTGCCTGGGTTCAGGTCCTTGCTGGATGACCTTCGAAAGTAATCTAATCTCCCAAAACCTTAGTTTTTATATCTGCAAATTGGGAATAATGATAGTCACTTCGTAGGTTGAGAATTAAGTTTAAAACTCCCATGTAATGTGTGTTTGTCTAGGGCCTGGAATATAGTAAATAGAAAATAGTGTTAATTATAGCATCATTTCCCAGATGTACTGAAATGAATGAAAAGTCCTTGCCTTTCAAGGACCATATGAGGGAACACAGAAACAGTGGTTACATTGTCATAGGACCTAAGCTCTAGCATCAGCTGGGCCTGAGAGCAGGACCTCCCCCCTGCCTGGACGTCCAGGCCCTCGGAGCTGGACACTTGGAGAC